ATCTATCTATCTATCTATCTATCTATCTATCTATCTATCTATCTATCTATATCTAATGCATATCAATGATTGTATAAAACACAAAGTGCATTCACAAAATATAATATAAATGAACAATTATATGCAAACCAATGTTGTTGTGTACTGTCGAGTTGAAACCAACCATAGCTGACCCTCCACAGGTTTTCAGAGGCAGTTAATTGCACGGGAGGAGATTACCAATCCTTCTCCCATGGAGCAGCTGGTGTCCTTGAACCATGTGCCTTTGGGATTGCAGCGCAGCATCTTGCCACGAGGCCACCACAGTTCCCTCTTATTGGTTCATGTAAACCAATAAGAAAGTTAAAAAAAAACCCAAACACCCAAAACTTGCAACTCACCATGCCCTTCCCCCCTACTCCAGCCCTAAGTAGCTCCCCAAGCCCCCAGAATGGATTCAAACTCCTTCCTGTGCTCACCAGATATTTCACACGAGTATCCTCTTAGACTACCCTCTCCTCATACCCTAAAGCTTAACATACTTGTATGGCTTTCCTTGAAACTGTGGTGCCTCTGAGCCTTCGTACATGCTGCTCCATGTGCCTGTAATGCCTTCCCTTGCCCCCTCTCCACATTTAAGCCCTTTGTCACACCTGTGCATTACTCAGTTAAGAGTAATTACCTCATTTAAGAAGACTCCTCCTCCACAAAGCTTTTCTTGCAACCTAGGCTGGGTCAGGTGTCCCCTGTGGGATCCCAAGTAAGCCCCGTACACGGCCTTGATCACAATGAACTATGAATCTGCTTCCTCATCTACCTTTCTGTCAGACTGTGAGATCTGAGTGGACAGAGGTTATGTAGTTCTCAATTCTACCCTCCTGTAGCCCTACTGCAAGCTCATGGTAGACACTTGGTAAACTGCTGACAAATGAAATCTTTCTTGTCACTTCTCTAGGCCCAACCCCAGATCACAAGAGAAATATAGTCATTGACAAAGCAAAGAGAATCTCAAGGTCACATTAACAGTGGTATGAAGCCTAGAAGGAGGGAGGGGATGCTGCTCTTCTGTGTATTATTCAGGTCATGCCTACAAAGCTACACATCTTGGAATCTCTGATAAGAAGGTATGAAGATGGTGAATGGAGAGAAAACACAAAATACTAAGAATTGCCTCAAGGACCTAAGTGTGCTCAAAAAAGGAGCAAAGACTTGAGAGCGGCAATTGGCGGTAAGAAAATTCATCTGATAAAAAGGGAGGACAAAGCTTTCAATGAGGTAAGTCTCCCTGGAAATTACAGTGGGCTTGGGGTGCAGAAATTGGCCACCCCCATCATGGGAGCTTTAGTGGGGGTTCTGAGAAGGACGACAGAGGGGCCACTGCATAAAGGTCGAAATGCCAATCCTGTGAGCGACCTCAAACAGTGACTCTGTCCCCACCATGGCAGCCCAGAGCAGGGGACTGGAGGGAGTGTCAACAGAAGGGTCTCTTACGTCCCGCTGATGGAACGGATGCTCGCCACACGGTCCTGGAAGCCGTGAGCCCAGAGGCTGGGCACGTCGTCATCCACTATTTCCATCTTGCGGCCGCTGAAAGCTGAGTTCTCAAACAGATGCAACTTGTGATCAGAACTATCCTGTAGGGACAAGAGCAGGGGGTGAGCCGGCTGCTCCCAAACCCTTGAAGAGGGCTCAGACAGGCCCCAGAATCAGGACACAATCAACCAATAGGCACACACACCCATCAACAAAGACTCTAATCCCAAATTCACTGTCGGAAGAAATAAAGTCTCTTTGAACCTCACTGTTTCACAAACAGGTAAAATGGGCTCAGCGAAGGAGGAAGATTGCTAAGCCATGAACAATCTATTAAAGTGGGTTCTGCCTTAATCCTCTAAGGTTTTGTGGTTGAGAACCATTGCATGGGAATCGACTCATTGTCGACCCTTTAGTGGGTTTTACAGGCAGTAATTTCCTGGGAGGAGATTGCCCATCTTTCTCCCGAGGAGCAGGTACTAGATTCAAACCACCTACCTTTGGTCTGGCAACACACTTCCTTACCACTAAAGCAACCAGAGCTCCCTAGTCCTCTAAGGAGAAGCCAGTCATTGTGTTGTGAGGGGGCTGTGAGTGCAGTGGGTGGAGGGAGAGGCAGGAGGAAGCGCTCCTGTGAGCTGTGTAGGACTTGGTGCTGAGATGGGCAAGTGAAGAACTTGAGCTGCTTGGCTGTTTACATGTGGCTTTGTTTGTAAAGTTATTCCCTGGACCACAGGGCTGGCCTGAGGCTGGACCTCGAGGCTCAAGAATTCAGTCCGGTTATAACAGGAAGTCCCAGCCCTCACTGTGGCTAATTCATGATACAAACATTCAGTTGTGGAGAGGAGACACACGGAGGGGCTTCTGGGGAGGCTGTACTCACAACACGCAGAGGCCGGATGGACAGGAGGTGTTCGCTGCGGTGGCTGTTGGACCAGGAGTCCCAGCGAGGGTAGTCCCCCTTCTCCAGGACGAACTGCTCTCCGCAGAAGGCCCTGCATTCGAATGCCAGCCACCTGTGGAGGAGAGGGGCCTGGGTTCCCTCCTCTGTGGCTGAGGAGGGAGCGACCCTAAGGTGGGAAGGACCCCAGAGGTGCTGATCCCACACCCTCCCTGGACCCCTCTTGCCAATTCCCAAGCCTTTTACTGGAGGAGCTACTAGGGCATGCTGGGAACGGAGTCTCTGGGCCAGAAAAGCATCCTGGGAAATGTCCCTTGGAATCTCTTTCACCTCTAGGCCCTCAGTAATGCCATTAACAGGACGTCTGGCCCCGAATTTGTATTCCATGGACATTAATCACTGGAACTGCTATTACTATAAATTATTAATTTGTCTGCATCATTTCACTCGTTTTCACAAAAGCGCCCCCTGAGACATTCTTCTCACCATTTCACAGATAATAAGACAAAGGCCTAGGGGTTGAACCAAAGTGCCCCCGAACCACTTAGCCAGTTAGTGGTCACAGTGTCAGGACCCAGACTCTGTCCAAAGGCACAGCGTATAGCCCGCCTGGCCCATCCACTTGATGTGTGGTCACGGACAGGCCACTCGGCCACTTTGGCCTGTCATTGTCCATAGAATGGGAATAACGAGAATGCTACCTTTCTGGGGGCCTCGGGTAAGATTCTGCGCTGCAATCCTGAACGCAATGAGTTCGAATCCTCAAGTTACTCTGCAGAAGGATGGGCAGTGTCCTTCTGTGTGATTTACTGCTTCTGAAAACCCACTGGAGGGTCAGCTATGGGTCAGTTCTGACTCCATGGTACACAAAAACAACAGCCCTTCTCACAGGATTGCTAGTAAATCATAAACCCTTGGTACAGTACGTTTTTGTTGTAATAATTGTTGTCAGCGTTATAATGACTGAATCCCACTTGTCAGGCATTAGCCTCTAGTCTTTTCTATGTGAACTTGTATTTGCCACAGAAGGGCTGAGCTAGAAGGATTCTTACAGAACAGGGTTCAACTCCCTGGTTTTACAGGTGGGGAAACTGAGACCACGGAGGGAAGGGAGTGGTCAAAGACCCCCACAGCAGATTTAGGGTCTCGGGCCTCCTGAATCCCTGCAAGATAAGGGGTACAGGGGTGGGGGGGTCCCGATTACTCACGGTCCAGACTCCACCTGGATGGAACCCACTTTCTCCAGCAGGCTGTCCGTCAGGTTGGGGCACTCGGTCGAGAGCTCGATCCGCTTGCCTTGAAAGTTCTCCAGCTCAAACACCGTCACCTGGAAGGACAGCATCCTAATCATCCCCTGGGCGCCCCCAGGTGAAGCATCCGCAGAGGGACCAGCCGGGAGCCAGCCCCGCTGCAGTCCTGCGCCGCCCCCTGGTGGCAGCGCTGGGAAACGCCGCCAAGACTGGGCCCCTGTGTGATCGTAAGGGCTCCTAGCTGACCCGCCAGCGAGTTTCTGCCGAAAATGATACAGGAGGCAATTGCTCCTTTATCTCCTGCTGTGGCCCCTGCTGGATTCGAACCAGCTCCCCACGGACTATGCCTCCAGAGCTCCAGAACTCTAAAATTAACTCCATTAAATCCAGACTAACGTACGGTTTTCTTGGTGCAATTTCCTGCCTGGTTTTAGCATCAGGCTTGCCATAGAGAACCACTCTGGGAGTGTTCCTTCTCTTTCTATCTTTTAAAATAATTTAAAAATTGGTGCAAGGGTCAGATGGGGAGCCTGTTCAAAGGAAGTGATGCCAGGAAGAGGCGCAAGAAATAAAATTCAGGAGAGTACATGAGCCCGGTTGCAAACTTTTCCAGAGAAATCAGCAATCCATATATATTCATATGAAATGTCTCCATTTAAAAATCCCTCGTAGGACAGAAGAAACAAAGGTTTCCCACTTGTGGATTGAGGTTTGCCTGCCTAACATCGTTCCCATTTTAAAGATGGGACTGTGGAGGTCCAGAAAAGGCCCTTGTGGGAGGCGACAGAATGGAGTGAGAGGGGCTCAGAGAGGGCAGGTTCTTGTCCTGGGGTTGCACTGCAAGGGGGTTGGCAGACTCTTTTAACTTGCACTGGCTTGGATAAGGGTCAGCCCGCAGGGCACAAGGGGTGACAGGGACAGCCACGTTCTCCACGGCCAGCAGCCCCAGGTATCTGTCAGATGCTGGCATCGCAGAGCTGCAAGGCCCCCAGCACTGTCCCCCACAAACGTCTATACTCCTCTTTGCTTCAGCCTCCCACCTCCTCCTCCAACAGCAAGCTCCTCGTGACCCCAACGTGGGGCTAAGCTGAACCGCTGATTGCCAGGCCTTCCTTCCGAGGCACCTCTGGGATGAATGAAATGACTAACCTTTGGGTTAGCAGCCCAGTGTCTGCATCACTCACGCATTTCGTAAACATTAATGGAGCACCGACTGCATATGGCCCACAGCCAGGGACATGGATGCAGACACGGACACTGGTCGTTTGCACCACCCAGGACAGAGCCAACGGACTCAAAACTCCCCCCTGGTTTCCATGCACACTCCCTCCATGTGCTGGTTGCTTTGGAGCTCATAGGAACTTAGGACTTGAGGAGTATGAGAATCATTCCCATTTGAAAAATAGGACTGTGGAGGCCCAGAAAAGGCCAGAAACATGAACTTCCTGGGGGCTTGAGGCCATGCCACGAAGGCTCTCCAGGGTGCCTGTGCTCCCGGGGAGACAGGCAGGGTGCAGGGAGAGTCCCATTTGCTGGCAAGGCCGGAGAAGAGGAGGAAGACAAAGCGTGCTGACAGCAGAAAACAGGAGTGAAGGGTTTCAGGTGGGGCTGCTTTCTGATCCACCTCTCTGGAACGGGCTGCCTGCCTGTGAGCTGCACCCCCAGGCCCTGGGGCGACCTCGAACCTCTGGACCCCCCTCCCCCGTGCGCAGTACCTTGTAGCCACCGCCGAGGCCTCCGTGGCTCTTGCCAGCCGCAGCCTGCTCCGGCACACCGTGCTGCTCCGCCATCTCTCCGGAGTCACCTCTGGCTACAAACCAAAGGGAAATGGGTCCCCAGGTCCACCAGGGGGAACCCAGGTGGCGCACGTGTGCCTGGACTTGAGGGTACACTACACACACTCCGGATGTAACGCTCGGTCCCGCAGGCGTTCACCAGACGCCCACTGCTCATCCACGCTGGGGCCATGGGATGGGACGGTCAGGGGGAGCAGATCCCCGCTTCATAGAACAGCACTGGGATCTGGCTGGGGGTGAACCCTCCCTGGGACGCGTGGAGGCGGGGCTCCAACCTTCGCTCTTGCTCTTTTATCCTCCCCTCCCCCCGTCCTCACATGGAGCCCCAGGTGCAGAGAGCTGGTCAGAGAATGGCTTCCGGGGAGCTTTCTGTGCGGGCTCCCTCCCACCCACACCCTCGAGGCCTCTGTTTTCTGGTCTCTGTATTTTTTTGTTCCCTAAAGATTTGATGGTCCTGGGCTGGGGGACAAGATGAGGCAGGAGACCACGGACAGACTGGTGGGGACAGACAGCCACCCTGAAAAAAGCCAGGCAGGGGACCAGGCCCTCCGGCCCCTACATCGGCCCAGTTCCCATGCGCATCTCATAAACATTAATGGAGCACCGACTGCATACGGCCCACCACCAGAGACATGGACGCGCGCAGACACGGACAGATGGTTATATCTCTGCTATGGGGGGGACAGGGGCCCAAAGCCCAGTGTCCCGAGTCATTTAGGAGGTTTCTTATGACTGTCACCACGATGATGTGACAGACATGGTTCTTTCCTGCCTTCAGCACACGAACACACACACATATATATCTTCACATATTTAAATCCACGCACCCAGGACATTTACGTCCATCTGTACACATGCACGTGGACGGACTTTCATGCATAGTATACATACATATTCACGCATACACATCCTCACACCATACATACATCCTCACACACATGTGCCTCTCCACACATGTGCACACACACACAGACAGGGGCTCCTGTGGTCGTGGACCATCAATCCGGCACAGCCTGTCTCTCTCACACCTGCCTGTGTATAGCAGACACCGCCCCCAGTGGTCCGCTGAACACCCCTATCTACGCCTCACACCCAGTGCACCATCAGAAACCCACCCACCCCGCACACAAGCCAGGGCACCCTGGAGCTCATCACACAGATGTGGGGAGCTGTAGAATTATCCCTTGATCTGTTTCCAGTCTCAGGAGGAAATGGAGCTCTCGGGGTGAGGGATGGGGGGGCCTGGTAACTCCTAGTTCTGCCCACTTTCCTCTCTGCAGAGGCACCAGGTCTGCAGAGACTGCAGCCCCAGGCCCGTGCCTGAGGGCTCAGTCTCTATGCCACCGCCTTGACATGCTGATGCTTCCAGGTAACCAGCACCCTAAACCCCTGGCTGGGCCCAGTATCACCTGGCTCAGCTCCAACTCCCAGAAGCCTCTCTGGTTCTCACAAGGCCTAGCTGGTCACGCTCGCGATGTTTACCATGGCCAGGCTCCCCCCCACCCCCCCGCCCCAGAAGGCGCTGACATCCTTACCTTCTGATCCTGCAGGTGGGGACCTGTGGCTGCGGCCTTGGGAAGGAGCAGAGAGAGGCCAGGCCCTTCCGCAGACGTGGCCCGACTCACAGCGAGGTTCCTATTTATGGGCACTTTCTGACAGCCCAGCACATCCCAGCTGCTGAGACGGCATCCTGTCCAGCCAATTCTGTTTGGGTCATTTCACCCCAATAGCGAGGCCACAGAGGGCCCCGAGCCTCTGTCTATGTGACCACAGTCTCTGATTAACTTCCCGGGGCACAGGGAACTGCTGGCCTTTGTGGGAAGCTAGGAAGCACTGGGCAGTGGTGTTGCAGTGGGAGGCCCTTGTCTCCCCTCTGGTTTATGGCTGCACGAAATCTCTTGCTCTTGTGTGAGAGAACCCCAGAACACTCCATGTAGCCCCCTAAATATATCCTCCAGACTGGGGGGAAATCCAGCCACTGTCATGAACCGGGTTGTGTCTCTCCCAAAATGCATGCACATAAGTGGGCTCTGGTGGCCTAGCGGGTAAGAAGTTGTGTTGCCAACACAAAGGCAGGTGGCTCGAATCCACCAGCTGCTCTGCGGAAGAGATGAACAATCACCTCCCATGTGATTTACAGCCTCTGAACACCACTGGAGAATCAGCTGTGTTATGGTTGCAACTGGATGGCAGTGAATTCGAAAATTTGGATGAAAGAGATAAAGTAAAATTACGTCATGGTGATGTGATAGTTCTTAGAACCAAATTGTTTTAAAAGGATTTGAAGGCAGGATACAACACTTCCTCTAGCCTCTCACAGTCATAATAGATGCAAAGGAGCCCCGTAGGCTGTAATACCTTTAAAAAATTTCTTTTTATTATTTTCTGTGTGTAGTATCACATCGGATCTGACTGGCACAGGAGAAGATTGCTCCTCCTTCTCCAGCAGAGAATCTGGTGGATTTGAACCGCACACCTCTGGGATTGCAGTACAGCTTCCTGCCACCAGAGCTCACTTGTAATACCTTTTATCTCACGAGAGAGGTAAAGGGGAAAAGCTGAACCCAGAGGGGTTGAGGGGACTTCAGTACGAATTCAGAACGAATCGCCAAGAGTGGATTGCACGTGGCCAGGGGGCTCCTGGAGGCAAGGATGACGACACTTCCTCTCACATGTTTTGGACATGTTGTTAGAAGGGTCCAGTCCTTGGAGAGAGACATAACGCATGGGGAGGTGGAGGGCCAGAGAAAGGGAGGAAGACCCTCAACGAGATGGGTTATTGACAGTGACTGTCATGACAGGTTCAGGTGTGTCAGAGGTGATGAGGGTGGACCAGGACAGGGCAGGGTTCAGACAGGTGGTTAATAGGGTTACTAGAAATCACAGTCGACTTGACAGCACAACACAACAGCCCTGACCCTCAGATATGTGGGGATCTCCAAGGGACGCTAAAGGAGCACGTACTTTCCTCCAGACCTGATGGGGTGTTTCCCCTAAAGTTAGCACCCTGAATTTTGGACATCTTGCTTAAATACTAAGAGAATGTGTTTGCTAAAGCCATCCACTTGTGGTATCTCTGTTGCAGCCGCACTAGCTAACAAGACACCCATCCGTCCATGGAACCCTGGAGTAGAACTAATGAAGCTGTATCACGTCTTCATACAAGTAAGTGCAAAGAATAGCTAATATTTACTGAGCGTCTAATACAGGCTGGTTTTATGAGGCTGGTCTAATCTCACGGCCCTGGAAGGCTGGCACCCATTGTACAGATGAAGGAACAAAGATCAGAACCATGATGTCATTCACGCTGGGTCTCTCAGAGAAGAAGTGGAGGGACCCCGTGCTCTAGGGCCATAGTTTGTAGCCACAGAATCAAGGGTGACCAGGACAGCTTATTTACGACTACAAAAAAGACAGCTGATCCTGGCTGTGTTTTTGTTGTTAGGTGAGAACCCACTCATAGCCGACCCTCCCGTGGGTTTTCAGAGGCTGTAAATCACACACAGAGTCGGGGAGGATTGTCTATCATTCTCTGGGAGCAGCTGGTGGATTTGAACTCTGTGCCTTTGGACTGGCAGGCAGGATGACTCCTTTACCCACTAGGCCACCAGAGCCCCGTCCCATGGAGACAGAATGAGCAAAGGTCAAGCCAGCGCTTGGCCCTTTTGGTCAAGTACACTTCCTCCCTCTGCCCTCACAGGTGTGGGGAACACACAGTGTGAGTTTGCTGGTGGATTTGAACCAGCGTCCTCTGAGTTATCAGGAGGGCTTAACCACTGTGCCCCCAGGAATCCTATAAAGTCCTTCTCTAAGTTCTTGAATACAGAGCTCATGAGTAATGAGGAAAAATTGGAGATTTCTGTTATTTTTCAAATAAAAGCAGTGTGCTAGTCAATTATTATTGGATAAAGTGATGGGGCAAAGGAATAAATGATTAAACCTCAGGTTCTTATTGTTGGTTGTCCTCAAGCAAGCATGGAATCTGATTACTCCTTGGCCCTGAAGTTAGGGTACCAGGGTGTCAGCTGGCCTCTGGCACTGGGTCAGAGTATAACCTTTGAGACAATCAACCATGGTGTTGGTGTTCCAGTCTCCTCTCAGGGGAGTGAGTGTCTCTCCTTCTTTTTATTCCCTGAGGGATCCTATCTGTTATTTCCATGTCATATCGAGGGGTTACAGCCATGTCCACTGTCACTGAAATCAGTCAATAACTCACAGGACAGAGCAAAACTGCTTTCCAACGCTGAGACCTTCACAGGGAAGCAGACTGTCACAACTTTGTCCCATCAGAGCAGCTGGTGGATTTGAACCACTGTCCCTTGGGTTAGCTGTGGGGAGTTTAACCACGTGCTGTCAGTGCTCCTGACATCCCTGCTGAAGGTCAAGCAAGGGGAGCAGAGTCGGTGCGTCCCTTTAACTTGGGATGATGGCGCCACCTGCTGGGGCACAGGGAGGATGACAGAGGTGGAGAGGGAATCAGAGTGTCTCCCTCCATGGTTTTAGAATCGCAAAGATCCATGAGGACCTTTCCCACCAGCCACATCCATGCCTCTGAGTTGTGGTGCAGGAGAAAAGCACTCAATATCCCACAGACTGCCAAAGGAGTGAATAAATATGTCTTGGAGAGAGTGCAGCCAGGATTCTCCAGAATAAAGAATTGTGGATGATGAAACTTTATCTTGTACACCTTGGGCATGTTGTTAGGAGGGGGCCAGTCTTTGGTAAAAAAGATATCCTGCTGGGGGACAGTGCAGGGTCAGTGATGGAAGGGAAGACCCTTTATGCAATGGAGTGAAAAGTGCCTGATGCAAATGGGCTCTAGTGTGTCAGAGATGCTGAGTGAGAATGGCTCAGGACCAGGCAGGGGTCAGATGTGATGTTCCCAGGGTCGCTGGGAGTGGTACCCGGCTTGACGGCACCTAACAACAGCACCTCCTTACGCTGGCCTTCTCAACTTCAGCCTCGGGGTGTCTACAGCTGGAGACGCCTCTGCACTTTGCAGAAGTATTGCCAGCCTCCCCGGCTTTAACCATCGAGGTGTACCAACCCCAAATGCCTCGAACCTGTCAATCGCATCTCATGAAGATCCATGCATGTGAAAAGTGGAGAGCTGAGTTCTGGTGGGTTTTCAAGGGCTCTTTTTTTGTTGGTTTGTGGATTCTATCCCCCCAAATAGCAAAGTGGCAGGAAAAGGGAGGAAACTGTGCAATAATTTTTTAAAGAAAAAAGCAAACGGGGTGTGGGGGTGGGTAGGGAGGAAAATGTGTAACAATGAATGGAGGGGAAATCCAAGTTTTCTATAAACTTTAGTTAAAATATCAATGTTGTTTATTGCCTTAGAATCAAGCACGATTCATAGTGACCCTATGAACAAACGCTCTGAAGCCCTTCTAGAACTATCGACATTTATCAAAGTTCAGAGAGTTGCCGGAGGCATGTTGTTTAGGAAGTGGATGGCACTCCTGCTTCCAAAAATAACAAAAAATTAAATTAAAAAAATAAAAACCAATTTCCATGCTGAAAAAAAAAGATTGCTCAGGCTTTTGAGGCGCGTGTTAACCACGTGGAGCACTTATCTTCTAAAGCACTTAAGTATTTGGGTCATCCAGGGGACAGCTGAGATTTGCCCACTGATACCATTATCCCCATTTTATTGCCCAGAGGAGCCAATACTCAAAGACATCCCACAGCCAGGAAGCGAATGGATGAGAATTCAACCCAAGCTTAACACTCCCTGGGAGAGCCAAGCACCCTCTCCCACAATCCCAATTGCCCCCCTTACTTCCCAGCCCAGGGTCCAGCCAGACATGGATGCAACCCAGCCTCCATTCAGTCACACAGACACACTGACTCCTTCAGCGCGACTTGCATCAAAGCTTTATTTGTTATTTCCATATGTTCCGAATGCAACATCTTTGAACATGCAAAGGTCATTTTGCTTGGAGGCAGCGAGCCAGCTGCCTGACTGTACTTTCGTGCCTACGAAACCTCATTAGTTATAAAATATAAAAGTACTTGAAGACGTACAATAATACTCTGTGAGGTCCGGGGGACTCCATTTCTTTTTAACATTAAAAATATAAGCTTTATAGGTGAGAGATCAGTCGCATGATGAGAGACACTTTCTGGGATTGCATCCAGTGCCCCACCCCTGCCTTTGGGCTCCAAATCCTAGAGCTTGTGGCTTCATAAGGCAATGAAGGGTTACCAGGCGGCCAGAGGCCCAGCAGCCCTACACACAGATGTAGGGTGTTGTTTCGGAATTTGAACATTCCAGGAAGGAGCCCAGAAAGAAAGGCTAGGGAGATAGATGTCACTGTGTACCATCGAGTCAGAACTGACCCACAGCGGATCCTCCAGTGGGTTTTCAGAGGCAGCAAGTCACACCAGAGGAGACTGCAGTTTCCCCCTTGGAGCAGCTGGTGGATTCAAACCACCTGCCTTCAAGTTGGCAACGCAGCTCCTCACCACCAAGCCACCAGAGCTCCCTGGGGAAATGGGTACCAGTTTTCTATATCTCCTCCCCTCCTCTTAGAAAGCATTTCGGCTCCCAATCATCTGGGAAGTCCATGAATTCTTCTG